TGAGAGAGGTCCACATGTAGTACCTATATATGTAATATCAAAGCAATTGGACTTGTCGTTTTTTAACAAGAAGTCGAAAGTATCACTTTTTAACAAAAATGACAAAAATATTCACCAAAATTAGAGAATTAAAGATATCATTACAAAATGAACAAATCTAAGAGAGATGCACATGTAGTACCTATATATGTAATATCAAAGCAATTGGACTTGTCGTTTTTAACAAGAAGTCGAAAATATCACTTTTTACCAAAATTAGAGAATTGAAGATATGATCATGAAATGAACAAATCTGAGAGAGGTCTACCCAAGGTACATATACACCAAGTTTTTTTATTTCCTGTAACCTGTACCGGCTATCCTCCTTGACCCCTTTCAAGTTATGCAACAATGAACCGAATAGAAAACACAGCAAGTGCGTTGTGAATCAAAGCAGACAGAAGTGGGAGAGACAACAATGTTCACCAGTTTTCTTGACTGTATGACTTTAGAAGAGCTGATAATTAGGCTGGTGCTTTGTCCATGAAGTGCCTTATACGTGATTAGAAATTTGAAGTCAATACGCTTGGGTATGGGTAGACGGTGAGGTTGTATAGAATAGGTGTGATGTTTTCAAAATTCTTAGTATTAAAGATGAGAAGGGCAGGTAAATAATGAAGCATACATTGGACACTGGTCTGTAATTCAGGGTGAAGCTGAGGTTTCTTGAGAAGTGGTTATAGTGTTTGAATTTTCATCTTGTTTGGCATTCTATGGATTAAGATATGTTACTATATTGACGACGTTAGGTAGGAGAACATCTATGCATTATTTTAGTATAGTTGTAACATTACTTGATTTATTTGCAGATAATTCTTCTGTACATGCTGAAATGAATGAAGACAGTTGTGCAGTGAATCATTGGCTTTGTGAATTAAATTGTTTGCAATCTCATACTTTTATATTCATATTGTTTATTGGAAAAGTACTCTGTCTTTGCGGCCTTCAATGCATCCTCTACTATTGTTCAGCTTTGCGATCTTTTTCTTGATATCTTCATTATACCATTTTGTAGTTTTGTTTATAGTAATATAGTTGGAACATAAACATATCAAAAGTATGGATCCAAAAAATGATGCTTGATTATGATTTTTTAACATTAAAATGATTGACACCTTGTATCTGATCGTCAAACGAATACTTGTTCATATTGAGAAATATTGCTCAGGAACAGCATTAATTAAAACAAAATAGCCACCAGTCAACCATTTTGAATACATCTATAACATGATGTAAAACGAATGAATAAAATTTTAACATAATCAGTTAAAGCATATCAGAGATACATGTATGGCTCTTGAAGCGCATCCATTTAAACAAAATGGCCGCCAGTCAGCCATTTTGAATCTGATCTGAAAAATAAAATGACGTGCATCCGGAACCCATAATCTCTAATGTATGTACCATGTTTGAACAAAATCCATCCATAAATGCTTGATTTTGAAGATTTTTTAGCACAAAAATGGCCACTATTCGGCCATCTTGAATCAGATCATGAAACAAATTGATGTGCATATGTATAATATTATGTACGTGTGAAGTTTGATTGTGATTGTTCCAGGCATGTCCATAATACAGGTGCGGGACGCACACATGCACGAACGCAGAACGGTCAATCTATAAGTCCCAGTTTTTGGACTGCGTCCGAACGGGGACTAAAAAGCATGTTATTCCAGAGAGTAGGACTGTGTGTAGCTCAAGCAGTGCAATCACTAATAATTCTATAGTTGTTATCTGTAGAATAACCATGAAATGATCAGTATGAAAGGTTTCAGAAAACAAAATCAGTCAAATGATTGATAATTACCGAAAGATAGCTTTATTACAACTTTTCATAAAAAAGTTTGAACAAATACTACAGGTACATATGAACTAGGAAATGTGAAGAAGACAGAATAACTTAGGAGTCTGATTATTCCAACAATACACTACAGGAAGACTACATAATCTAAATGTCATAAAAATTTGGCAGTTCAATAGAAAACCTGTAACCCCCCCCCCCTCCCCCTCCCCCCAAATCTACAATGTACATAAAGGACAATACACAAAAAGAAAACATGTAAAATCTGTACAAACAAAACAAAAATTTTCATACAAAAAAAATTTATAATATACCTATCATGATTTGTTATTCAAGCAGCAATAATCAAAATGCTGCAACAGTATAAATTTTTATAGAATTTGACCTCAAAAAAAGATTTCTACTGATTATACCTTTGAGTTTTCTAAACTGAAGGTGTTGATGGATCCCATCTTATACAATAAGGGATATTGAAACATATTTTAAACAAACTTCTTTCCCGAATATCATAGAATATGGTCTACTCTTGATCTAAACACTTAACTCATTAACATAATAACACAGCAACACTAACTAATTTGCATAATTTGATTATTTGTCAAATTGTTGTTCTCATTGGGTTGTCGATATATATTTGTATAATGGGAAATTTACATTGACTTGTTATAACCTTCACTTTTTATTCAGATGCATCTCAATCACAAATGGCCGAGTTCATATACGAGTTGTATGTTTCTCAGAGACAGAGTTGATATTGTTTTAATAGAAACAATGGCAAGAACTGGTATAATGTAACACTTTGAAATGAGTTATCTGAGTCCAGATCGAATGCAGTAACCATGGAAACAGGAGCTGGATAAATCCAACCTTATGACATGCATGTCTTCTTGGGTCTATCTGGATGTCTGGATTACAATGTAACACAACAACATAATGGAAGTCACACAAAACAAACAGCTTGCTGAACCAGTTCACTCTTCAATAGTTGGAAGCCAGAATTCCTGTAAATTGAAAAAGAAATAAATTTTATATGCACGTCCCTTTAAACACAATACATACTGACAGTAGTTACATGTAACTACGGCCATGTTTTTTTTTCATGCACATGACGACCTAAAACTTTGACCTGATAGGTCTAGTCTGTTATTAACCAATCAGAATGCTGCATCCAGAAATTCTGAATATTGTTTACAGCAAACTCATCATGGAAATGAAGTGATTTATGGCATGATTTAAAAAAACAAGCAGTCTCTCAGCTGAGATAGCTCCGCTGTTAACAATGCACATTTCAATTAAAGAACTGAAGATATCATTAGAAAATGAACAATATGTATACATTGTAGCATCAAAGCAATCTGACTTGCTGTTTTCAACAATATCACTTTTTTTTTTAAATTACAAAAATTTTCACCAAAATTAGACAATTAAAGATATCATCACAAAATGAACAAATCTGAGAGAGTTCCACATGTAGTACCTATATATGTAATATCAAAACAATCAGACTTGCGGTTTTTAACAAGAAGTCGAAAATATCACTTTTTACCAAAAATGACAAAAATATTCACCAAAATTAGAGAATTAAAGATATCATCACAAAATGTACAAATCTGAGAGAGTTCCACATGCAGTACCTATATATGTAATATCAAAGCAATCAGACTTGTGGTTTTTAACAAGAAGTCGAAAATATCACTTTTTACCAAAAATGACAAAAATATTCATCAAAATTAGAGAATTGAAGATATCATCATGAAATGAACAAATTTAAGAGAGGCCTACCCAAGGAACATATACACCAAGTATCAAAGCATTCAGGCTTGTAGTTTTCAAGAAGAAGTCGAAATAGTAAAACATTGACACGGACGACAGACGTCGACGGACAATCACTCATATGATAAATTGCGCTTGATAAAGTCAACAGCGGAGCTAAAAATGACTCATTTTGGTGCCAGGAAAGATTAAATGTTCCAAAAACGAAAATGACACCTAAATGAGAATACTTATGGCACATAGACTTCATTTCTGTAACTTTCATCTCCAAGTGTTTCTGGCAACCAAAATATCACCCACTGTAGAGGTTCTGGATCGACATATCGGACAAATACATGGGATGTATTACAATATACTATATATGTAAGCGCTAACAAAATTCTTCAGTCTCTAATATAAAGTGAACAGATATGTTATAGAAAGAAACAAGCTTACCATGTCATTGGATGTTGTAGCTAGCATCATGTACTTGGGATTGAACTGTACACACTGTACTGGACCACCATGTTTAGATTCCAATACAGACGTTTTACTACCATTCTCCGCATTCCATACATGCACCTTACTGTCCTGGGAACCTAGAAAACAGTTTGAAATCAAGCAACTGTCTAGAAATCATGATCCTAAACTTTATAATCTTGAAATTGACTAGTGTTTTGAATCAGCCCTAACTGACGTGTGTCTTGGGTCACAAAAAGTAACAAGAGTCTCAAGTCACCCCAACTGATGGGTGTCTTGGGTCACCCCAACTGATGGGTGTCTTGGGTCACCCCAACTGATGGGTGTCTTGGGTCACCCCAACTGATGGGTGTCTTGGGTCACCCCAACTGATGGGTGTCTTGGGTCACCCCAACTGATGGGTGTCTTGGGTCACCCCAACTGATGGGTGTCTTGGGTCACCCCAACTGATGGGTGTCTTGGGTCACCCCAGCTGATGAGTGTCTTGGGTCACCCCGACTGACAGGTTTCTTGGATCAACCCAAACTGACTGGCATGTGTTTGTCTTGTGACAGTTTGAAATCAAACAATTTTTTAGAAATCATGATCCCCTCTTTCATAATCCTCCTATCACTTGTAATATGTCAGCTCAAACTAACAGGTGTCTCAGGCAGCCCAAACTGATGGGTATTTTGTCATGTAGCCATGTTATTGGGGGGGGGGGTGTTCAAAGGGCTGTTATCAGATGATAGGAGGGCAGTGCTTGAGGTCAATGATATAAGCATACAATCAGGATTGTATGTGTGTCGTAATCTTTCAATGTTTCCCCACATATGTATGGATAGTTTAAACACATGTCATTTACTCATACATGTAAACTTCTACACAAAGAGATCTGACAAATAACATCCTACTATACAACATCGCCATATTCTAGAGAAAGTACACACATGTCACAGTGAATAATCACTTTCTTTATACATGACTTTGACAAATACAAATAGTGCATCATGGAATACTGCAATAGAATTCATACAATTTTCTTGACTGGGACAAAAGAACTGGTACCAATCTTTAGACTGAGCGGTTGACATGCACAACAACAGGAGTTCAATCTCCAGTGATTTCGCTACAAATGTAGTTGTATACACAGTCCAACTATTTACAAATCAGAATACACAGATCAGATATTCAACACATGCTTCTAATGAAATGTATGGAAACAAAGAGTATTTTACAACAGCTTTCCAAGGGTTGGAACAAGTCAGTCATTCATTTCACACCATAGGTTTGCATTTTTATGTATAATTTGATAGGGTTAAACTATCAAAATGCCAAATACAGAATGTGGACTGTTACACTCAAACAAGGGGGCTAAACATTCACAACAATGGAAGGTCAAAGAAACTCAGTTTGTTTATGTTATGCATACCAGAAATTCCAATGTTATGACACCAGCTGAGTGAAGGTATTATACCTTGTTGCGCCGTGTAAGGGAAAGCCAATTTCATTCAAATTTAGAACTACAAATATTACCCACACTTATTTTTTGAAGATGTTTACCTGCTAAAACAAACTGTGAATCAGGACTGAATGATGCTTCTAATACCAAACCTTTGGTATTCGTATGACCCTGAAAAAAACAAAAAGGGTTATTTTAGCTATATCTTGATGTATGTATGAATGAATGAACAA